ACCGCGCGCACACGACGCTGCAGCTGCACCTGGCCACTACAAGAAGCCCCGAAACTACTCACGCCAGAACGACTCCCACTACGGCCACCCCGACAACCCCAACGAGCGTACCACTCATGAAGCTGTGGGGGCGTGAGGGACTCACGCGGACGGCGCTGGAGCTGCATCTGGCCACGCCAGGAGCAGCAGTAGCAGTAGAAAGGGGAGGAGCCGTAGGAGCAGCACGAGCAGGAGTAGCGGCAGTAGCAGCAGGAGCAGCAGTAGCAGCACTAGCAGCAGTAGGAGTAGAAAGAGCAGTAGCAGCAGGAGCAGCAGTAACAGCAGTACGGGCAGGACAGTGCTCACCAGTGACAAGAAAGGTAGGCGTACGACGGCTGCAACGGCAATGCCGGCACCACTGCAGGGCGAGGTCTCCGCGGCAGCTGCAGGGGGGGGGAGGGGGGGGGGGGCAGCTGCTCCAGGGGCGGCTGCTCCAGGGGCCAGGGGCGGCTGCTCCAGGGGCCAGGGGCGGCTGCTGCAGGGGCGGCTGCTCCAGGGGCCAGGGGCAGCTGCTGCAGGGGCGGCTGCTCCAGGGGCCAGGGGCGGCTGCTGCAGGGGCGGCTGCTCCAGGGGCCAGGGGCGGCTGCTGCAGGGGCGGCTGCTCCAGGGGCCAGGGGCGGCTGCTGCAGGGGCGGCTGCTCCAGGGGCCAGGGGCGGCTACTACAGTGGCCAGGGGCGGCTGCTGCAGGGGCGGCTGCTCCAGGGGCCAGGGGCAGCTGCAGCAGTGGCGACTGCTCCAGGGGCCAGGGGCGGCTGCTACAGTGGCCAGTGGCGGGTGCTGCAGGGGCGGCTGCTCCAGGGGCCAGGGGCGGCTGCTGCAGGGGCGGCTGCTCCAGGGGCCAGGGGCGGCTGCTGCAGGGGCGGCTGCTACAGTGGCCAGGGACGGCTGCTGTAGGTGCGGCTGCTCCAGGGGCCAGGGGCGGCTGCTGCAGGGGCGGCTGCTCCAGGGGCCAGGGGCGGCTGCTACAGTGGCCAGGGACGGCTGCTGTAGGTGCGGCTGCTCCAGGGGCCAGGGGCGGCTGCTGCAGGGGCGGCTGCTACAGGGGCCAGAGGCGGCTGCTGCAGGGGGGGTTGCGGCAGCGGCGGCGGCAAACAGCACCGGCGGCAGCGGAAGCGACGGCAGCTGCTGCTGGGGTGGCGGCGACGGGGCGGCAGAGCGGCTACGGAGGGCCGCGAATGGGGCCGCGAAGGGCCGCAAAGGGGCCGTGATGAGCAGCGAAGGGGCCGCGAAGGGGCCGCGAAGGGCCGTAACGAAGCCGCGAAGGGCAGCGAAGGGGCCGCGAAGGGCCGCGAAGGGGCCGCGAAGGGCCGTGAAGGGCCGCGAAGGGCGGCGAAGGGGTCGCGAAGGGCCTCGAAGGGGCCGCGAAGGGCCGTAAGAGAGGGCCGCGAAGGGCCTAAAGAGGGAATGCGAGGGGCCGTGACGAGGCAGGCCACTAGGGGGCCGCGAAATCTTTGGGGCAGGGCGCACAGCGCGCTTCGGGCAGGTAAAAAAAAAATTCAAGAAGGTTGGCCTTACTAGGAAGTTTCCTGCTGTATACCATGTGGAGAATGATGTGCATTAGGTCATGGTTGGGGTACATAGCAAAAGTGTCGAGATGATTTCTGTACCCCCTAAGGCTAGCCCCAATATAGCCTAGATAGCAACATGCATATGCTTTGACACAACCGTCAGACCAAGACCGATGTTGGCAGAAACATTTGAAATGAAAAGAGCGGGAACAGGTTTTAAACAGATTCTCGCGCCGCATGGTTTGAACTTCTCTGCATTTAGGGAGTGTACCCTTTAGAGTACATGGCTAATATATGTCGTTTCGCACTTCTTTCTATTCCCTATATAAACTCAATGTATGCATGCTGTTATCATCTAAATCATTTACATTCACCCTGACCTAAGTTCAACACTTCAACTGCAATACCACTTGCGATCAACCCTGAGCGATCCTTCGCTAAGTCCCACTTCATATTGTAACAAGAACCATTTCGACCGATTCCCGCTTTATCCCTTTCAAATGCGTTTGCCACAACTGCCTCAATGGTATTTATATCCGACTCTTCCATTCATCACGACATTCGTTCCATATTCAACCATGCCTAATTTGGATAAGAATAAAAGCATGTTATGATATGTAACACTCTCCATATTTAATTTGTCTCGCCTTTGGATTTTGCACTTCCAAAACTGCACCCACCTCATTCCCACCTGATTTGGTTGCCCCCTATAATTCAAAAATTTGATATTCTTTGAAACATTGCGCTATCTTTTATATCTCATTAACGTTACAAAGGAAGCTAGAATGAGATTGGCGGGCTTTGTCTAACGGAAGTTTCATCTCGATCTGCGATAAATCCCCTGCCTCTCTTTTTGTGAGCTCTTTTGCCCTTCGTGCTCTTCCGCGCTAGTTGTTATCCGCCTCTTGTGATTCTTCTAGACCCTCCGGGCGCGCATACTCTTACCACAATGGCGGCAGACGCTGCTGTCGAGAAAGTCGAAGGTAGGTTGTTTTTCTGGTCCGAGGTAGGTGCAATCTCCCCGCGCTATCGCCACTGGCAAAAACACTCACTACCCTTCAATCAACTGTTGCTCCTTCGGTCTGTAGATTCGAAGAAGCGTATCGCGCTTTCTTGCATCTCTCGTATCTAACGCGCCCTCCGGGATGCGCGCGCCGTCTTATCTTTGCGCGCGGCGACCCGGGTGTCAGGTGCGCTGCGCTGCGCGTGGCGTTTAGCTTCCTGAGAACTTCCTTAAGTGAAGAAATAAAAAATCGTTAGTGCTTGCGCTTATTTACTCCCTTACGCGTTCTTTACCCGCGTCGTGTAGCCTCCGTTGTTCTCGAGTCCCGCTGATAGGGGGTTAGGGTTCCGTTGCGTCGTATCACGGGAGGAAGCGGGGGACAGGCACATCTGTCCTTACCAATCCTTCCTCGTCCTCTCGACAGATGTCCACCGCCTGTTTGCGAATAGAACTCGTCGTTCTCCCGTTCCCGCTCTCCGTTTTCCCCTCACGCCGTCCTCTTCTCCTCCACTTCCCCTCTCCCCCTTTCCCCCACTACTCCACTCCGCTTCTCCCCTCTCCCCCTCTCCCCCGCTCCTCTACCCCTCCCCTTCCCCCCTCCCCGCTGCCGCACCCCCCTTCCCCCCGCTCCCCCCCGCGGCAGAGGCGGTGGCGGAGCTGAAGGTGGAGGGCGGCGTGGTGGAGGAGAAGGCGGAGGAGGAGGTGAAGGTGGAGGACAAGGGCGAGGACGACGGGGACGACGACGACGAGGAAGACGACGACGACGACGAGGAGGGCGCTGACGACGACGCTGCTGCTGGCAACCGCAAGGGCAAGCAGGTGCGCGCTCTCTGCTCGTTGTTGCTTCGAATGACTTTCGAGTCGATGTTAAATTCGCCTCGGTTTTGAGTCGGGTCAGAGGAATCAGGTGCGCGCTGTCGCGGTGCGGGCTAGAGAAAACCGGGACCAGACGCGCGTTCTGCTGCCAGCGCGCGCCATGCGCGCTTGAGAAGAAGCAGCGATACGTCTGTATGGTTGCCCCTGCACGAGGAATAGCGATGCTATGACTCGCTGTACCGTAACCCCCTCCGCGGTGCGCTACCCCCCCCACCCCCCGCCCCCCCCTCCTCTCCCCACAGAGCCGCAGTGAGAAGAAGGCGCGCAAGGCGGTGCAGAAGCTGGGGCTGAAGGCGCTGACGGGCGTGTCGCGCGTGACGATCAAGCAGAGCAAGAGTACGCTGTTCGCCATCTCGCGCCCGGACGTGTTTGTGAGCCCCGCCTCCAACACGTACGTCATCTTTGGCGAGATCGAGGACCTCTCTGCCCACGTGCAGTCGCAGGCTGCTGAGCAGGTGCGTTCCTTGTGCCCTTGCTGGCCTTTGGCAGGCTTGCCAGGCGTAGCAGGCTGGTAAAGTAAACTGTTGTATGGTATCGGAACTTGGTTTGCATCTTGAGAGAGGTTCTGGCAGTGTGTTTCTGCAGTTTGAAGTCTCGGTACTTACCTTCTTTTTCTTGTTGGGTTGTATTCATGTGTCCTTCAAAAGAAAAGTTTGAGCCATAATGTCCTGCTATGTTGCGACATGGCTTTCCTCTTTGTTGTTGCAGTTCAAGATGCCCGACTTCGCAGCTGCTGATGTCAAGGCTGTGGAGACAGCGGCAGCGGTAGAGGAGGCAGAGGAGGATGTGGATGCGACGGGAGTGGAGGAGAAGGACATTGAGCTCGTCATGACCCAGGCGGGCGTTTCCCGTGGCAAGGCCATCTCTGCCCTCAAGTCCACCAGCGGTGATATCGTCGATGCCATTATGCGCCTCACCACGTAAAAGGCAGTGTTTCAAAATTAGTAGTATGGAGCAAGCAGCCCAAGAAGCAGGTTTTACAGAAAGTTCTTTTAGTGTACTGGTAATGCATTCTGTCTGGGCTCTATTGCGTTTCACAAATGATTTTTGCAAAAGCCTAGTAAAGTTACTACACTCTAGGATTCGTTAGCATTGCATGCGAATCCCAAAAGGATCTACAATGTCGGGCCTTTTCGCTAGCTCTCTAGGCGATTTCGTCGCGTTCGCAAGGCCAATCACTGCAACCCGCAACAATGGAGGCGAACTTTTTCTCGGGACTGACTTCCTCCCTCGGGGTTGCTTCGCCTGCGCCAAGCAGCCCCGCGCTGATGGTGGTTGCCTCACCTTGTGCTGGGGGGAGCGCACACGTCCCACGCCGTGAGAGGAATGCGCGCGCTTCTTTTTCGGTATGGGAGGGGGGGGAGGGGGGGGAGGGGAATGCGAGTGCAATTTCCAGTTGGGAGAAGAACCGCAACTGCAGCAGCTGAAGTTGGAATAGAAGTTTGTGAGGCTTCCTTTGACTTCGCCATCTCGAAGGCCTTTTACTACTGACTACTAACTTGGCTTGTACCCATCAGGATCGGCTCAGCTTCCCCCGCGTTGTGGTTTCCGATCGGATCGGCTTTTTGGCGAGATGGGGAAGAAGAAGAGAAAGGACGCGAAGCCGTGGTGCTTCTACTGCGATCGCGAGTTCGACGACGAGAAGATTCTGATTCAGCATCAGAAGGCGAAGCATTTTAAGTGCCACGTGTGCCACAAGAAGCTCAGCACGGCTGGCGGAATGGTGGTGCACGTGCTCCAAGTTCACAAGGAGAATCTTACCAAGTAAGTAACAGCTTTAATCGTTTCTATTCTATTTCCAGTTGTTCTCCTTTTTTATCGCCAAGACAATTTTCGGTGCTGTTGTTTCCAGTCATATTTCTTCATTCCGGGGAGGAGTGTAACACACCTAAGTCCGATCGTGTCATGTGAAATGCCTCCAGAGTTCCTAATGCCCGTCCGGGGAGGGAGTCGGTGGAGATCGAGATTTTTGGCATGGAGGGAATCCCGCCGGAGGCGATTGCTGCGCACAACGCCGAACAAGGTACTCATTGTGTGCTTGGGACGGACGGATCTATTGAAGCAATATTGGTAATTGCTGAACGCATGCCGATTCTGTTTACGATCACATCGCGAAGCTGCACGTGCAGTCGTGCTGATCACTGCTCCGGTCAATCTTGTTATTTCGGGATGACTCCAATAAAAGTGCTATGCTGTTTTCTTTGACGTTTACGTTTGACGTTCAGGGCTTTCGAGAGCCGAACAATCCATTTCCAATCAATGCTCTTTGAGTAGTCTTTCTGTCGTCGCTCGCTCTCCGTCGTACGATATGCTGATCCGTTTTACGCTGATCCGTTATGAGCAGAGGAGCGAGCAGCGAAGATGCAGCGAACGTCGGAGCAGGACGACGATGATGATGATGATGGAGGGCCGCCGCCCCAGCCGGCCTATGGCGCTGCTCCCGCCGGTATGGCCCCACAACCGCTCTACGCTGCACCCATGCAAGCGTGAGTATCCTGGTGCTTCTTCTTATCCCCTTCTCGTTTCCTCTTCCTATCCCTCTTCTTCCCCCTCTTCCCATCCTCGTTCCATCCCCTATTCTCCCCCCACTCCCCTCCCCTCCCTCTTCTGCGCTTCCGTCGACTTCCCTCACCTCCTTGCCTCTCGACGAATGCCTTTCTTTGTCTTTCTCTCGTTGCTTCGTGCCTCTCTGACACCCTTCTTGCCGTCACGCCTGCAAATCTCAGTCAACTGCAGGGCCTCCTTTTCAAACCTCTTTCGCAATCTCCTTCAGTTTCGCCGCTTTCGCTTGGCACATCATCAAACTTGATGGGTTCCGCCTATGCGCCCCCCCATCACCCCCCTCCCCCCCCCGCCCCCCCGGTTCGTGTCTCTGTTGCTCCTTGTGCGCAGATACCCTAACCCCTACGCGCAACCCATGCCGCCACCGCAGATGCTACCCCAGTGGGCCCCGCAAGGCCCAGGATACCCCCCCATGCCCGCATGGCTTCCCCCTCCCGCGCACTCCCCTTCCCCCGGATACTTCCCGCCTGGTCACCCAGCCTCTTCTTACCCCCCGCCTCCGCGCCCGCCTCCTCAACCGCTCTTTCCGATCCAAGGCGGGGTTCGCCCCCCTCCGCCGCACTCCATGAGCACTCCGCCGACGGCATATCCCCCCGCTCCTTCCGCCACCGCTCCCGCCGGCGCACCTGGCATGGCAGGCGTTGCGCCTCCGTCCGCGAGTCCGGTGTTCCCCATAGCTTCCGCTGGTCCGCCGCCGTCTTCCGCCGCATCAGCGCCTGCCGCGCCTCCCCCGGCCCATTCCCCTGCGGGCTCTGGACCGTCCGCGCAGCACTACCCCCCCGGCCCTGGCGCAGGGCCTTCCCCGTATCCCCCGCAAGGGGCCGTTTTCCCCATTCCGCGGCCAGGGTACCCTGGCGCACCGCCGGGCGCGTCGGCTCCGTCTCCCGCTGGGGGCCCTGCGCCACACGCGGGCGCGCCCGGACCAGGACAACCCATGCCGGGGGGAAGCTACGGCGCTCCTGGTGAGTCGCGCAGTGAGAGAGGGGGGGCTGGAATGAGGAGGGAGGGGAATTAGTGGTGGGTTATGGGGTGGGTGTGCGAGGTTGGATGGGGTGAGAGGGCTGTTTTAAATGCGATTGAGGGGAAGAAGAAGAGGCACGAAGGAGAATGGAAAGGTTGAGAGTGGTCTGAATGTTGTTGGGCGAACAACCTACTTGTTGTGTCTTGTTCTGAATCTTGGTAGGTAAGTTGGATGGAAGGAAGTTATGTCGTTTCAATGCGTTGCACGGTTCCAGTATCGTTTCTCTCCCGCCTCTGTTCTCTCAACCACCTCACATACCCCTCTTTTCCAATCCCACTTGATACTCGTGCCAAACCAATTTTGTCTCCCTCGCCTTCTTCCCTCTACTTCACTTCTGTATCGCCTTGCAACTCCTCTCCCTTTCCTCCCCTATTAACGATTGTCTGACCGTCGCGTCCCTGTCCTTCCTTTGCTGCTTCGTGGCTCCCTGACACTCGTCTCACCTTGAAGTATCCCCACTTCCCCTTCCCCCCCCGCCTTTCCGTCCGCCTCTCTCCCTCTCTCCCTCTCCCTCTCGCCCATCGCCATGCTGCAGCGGCGCTCGTGCCAGCCCCTGCGCCTGCCGCCACCAGTGCGCCTGTGGGTGCAGCGCCACCAGGGGGACTGCCGGCCGTGGCAGCAGGAGCACCACCACCACCAGCACCAGCAGGAGGAGTAGGAGCAGCGGCAACAGCAGGAGCGGGCAAGGCGGCACCTGCAGCTGGTGCACCGGCTGCGCCCACGGCGGTGACAGAGGTGTATCTGGTGTGGGACGACGACCAGATGTCCATGGTACGCCCTGCCCTGCCGCTTGCCTCCCACCCCCAACAGTTTGTGCTGTCGGTTTTCAAAGCACCTACTGTTTCCTCCGCAACCTGACCCTCAGCCCACCACCCACACACCTCCCACACTCCCCAAGGCCCTGCCACGCCTCTTCTCTTTTGTCTTCCTCCTGACCCTTGGTCTCTTCCTGTCCCCCACAATCCTCTTGTGTACTCAATCTTTGAAAGTCCTTCAGTTACCACTCGGGCCTTTTGCTCACCATTCCATGCCAATCAGTCATGCCACGACATGATCCCTCTTGGTGATTCCGCAAAGCATACTGTTCTCAATCCTGCTCTCCCTGGTCCGTGTGTGTTCTCTCCCCGCTTTGCCTGGTGCATGGTGCCTGGTGCCTGTTGTGTGGGTGCCGTGCCTGTGCAGGAGGAGCGGCGGGCCAGTCTCCCTCGCTACCATGTGCGTGCGTGACCCTGACCGTGACCAGACAGACCAGCTCCAAGTCTTCTGCACTGCGCTGCACCACTCTGCACTCCACTCTGCTGCTTGCGGCCACTGGCACAATCGGTATGCCATGCCACCCTGCGCTGTGGCACAGCCTGTGAGAGACCACCTGTTGGTTCGCTCGTGCTTTTGCTGACTGAAGCAATTGGGGGAGGTAGCCGATTAGCGGAGTGCAGGGGTGGCGTTTCAGCATTGGGATGGAGGGCAAGGGCTGGTGTAGGGCTGGATCACTTGGCTTGTCTTATGCAGGCTCGTCCTGGCTCTCCAAGCATAATGGATAAGAGAGGGGAACGGCTCGGCGTCAGGCCTTGGGCTTTCTCAGGTGCCCCCCTTGTTCTTTTCATTTCCAGTCGTCTCTTGAGTTTCAGTCTGTTGGATGTGTGTGCGAGATAGCTTGCTGAGATTGTGACTTACAGACTAATCAGGAAGTATTTCGTAGGTTGTTGGAGTTGTGCGTTTCTTGGCACACCTTTGTCATAATCAGCTGTTCGGGTGATTCCAATGACCATTGAGGTTAGTACCAAACCTACAGGTGTGAAGATGACCTTTTTGTGTCCTGTCTCGCCACAAAGCTTACCAGAAGGAAACAGATCACATGCTGCCTTCAGGTACCGTCCTTGCAAATTGCTTGTAGCATCTAATTTGTGTCCTTTCACCCACTGGGCTTTGTCCTTGGTGTTTGCAATACTGGCACTGGTATCATGTCACCTCTGACCTGGGAAAATAATTATTTGAGATGCTATTTTGCATGTCATCAGACAAATTCGAGATGCTCCTGGTTTGAACTGAGATACTACACTGATGTTGGAACTTATTTTGAGATACTAGCACTGAAGTTATAGTTGGGAAAATCACTGAAGCAGGCGGTGGAATAAGGTGAAGAGCGGTGCGTTAGATTTCACTGATTTGCTACAAGGACTCCATGCGATTGTTGCGAATCCGATATCATATCGCTTGCCTTGCGGGATGTCCACTCACATATGTTGCAACGAAATCCTGGCGCTCCTCAATGTCGTGATTATCGCCCCTTAGCGAAGAAAAAACCCCGCGAATGCTGAGTTCCCAAAATTGCGAGCGACCAATCACCCAGCCTTTACGATTGATCGCGAAACTGGTAGAAAGGGTGTGCTCGGACTCGACACGGCCACTCGGTGAGAACTGGGTAACCAAACAACAATCGTGAGAGGCGATCGATCGTCAACTGCTATCGCCCCTGACCCTGAGCTGATTGCATCCTTCCCATCCTCCTGCGACCACTGCCTTGCCATGTATGTTCGTTAGAACATAAGCGTGGCGAGTCGCGACTCGCGACGTCTGAAAGCACCTGCCATTCCGCCTCGCCGTGGTCGTCGACTCGTCGTGCCTCGATCGTCTTCTCCAGCTCATCGCCTCGTCGTAGTTCCTCCGCACCTCCTCGACAGTGCGCTTGCAGTTACTCCTCTCCTCGTCCCCCCTCCCCTCACCTTGTGCACCCCGTCCTAATTACCCACGCGAGTACGCCTCGCCGTCCTCCGCAAGGCCTACGTCCTGGCCGCATTCAACCTCTTCAGAACCAACCTGACCGAACCGACCGCAACCGAGGCTAGTGCGGCCCGGCACTCGTCCCGCTGCGTCGCGGCGTTCTCACATCATGTCGTCGTACGCTCCGCGCTCCGAGTCCCGTGTCGCTCTTCTCCTCCGCCATTTGGTTCCCGCGGAAGCCGCAAATCAGCCGCGCAGCATCGACGACTTCTGCGCACGCAGCGCTTGCGCGGACGGGGCGAGCACCGCGACTGCCCGCGCCTGCGCCTTCCCCTGCCAGCGCGGATGCGGGGTTTCCGCCGTTGCTTGCTCCGCGCGCGCGGCGCTGGGCGCGCCCGTGGTGGTGGGGGGAATGGTGTTGGACGTGCAGGGGAGGGCGGGCGCGGAGCTGGCGCTGGAGCGAGGCACCACCACCCCTGGACAGGTACACGTGCCCTGCGCGCTGTGCCCTGCGCCCTGCGCTCTCCGCTCTCATGCCTCTTCCCTGCCTCACGCTTTCCCCGGAATCTCCTACCCTCCCCGACCCTGGTCAACTATTCGCCCCCATCGTCCTGTTCCTCATCGACTAGGAAGAGGGGGGAGGGGAAGGGAGGAGTGTGGTTCGTGCCTGCTGCTGCAATTTTTAACAACACTCCTACCCTCTGCCCTCCTTTGCGTCATTGCGTCCCGTGCCTCTGCCTCCCCCTCTGGCCCCCTCCTCCTCTGGCTCTTCTCCTTCCCTCCCTCTCTGCTCCCCCTCCTGCCCTCCCCTCCGTCCCCCCTCACTGCCCTCTCCTTAACCCCTCCGCCCTTCACTCTCCGCCCATGTCTCCCCCCCGCGGGGGGGTGCAGGTGGAGTTCCGCCCAGGGGGGGTGGCGCGCAACATAGGGGAGTGCATGGCAGCACTCACCGCCGCGCCGCTGCTCATCTCCGCTGTGGGGGATGATGCTGCAGGCAGGTCGCAATGCTGCTCGCGTCGCACGCCCCTCCTCTCGTCGCACGCCCCTCCTCTCCTACTCCCCTCCATCCCCACTCCTCTCATCCCATTTCATTTTCATCCATAGCACGCTCCTCTACCTACCTCTCTGCTATGTAGCCCATCCTCTTTAAATAAGATACACTGTTTCTTCTCCACATTGTTTCTCATATCTTCCTAACAACTTTCCTTCGTATCTCATTTTCCATATCTCACCTCTCCCTTTAACCCCCTCCCCTTTCCCCTTTTCCTCTATCCCCTCCTACCCTTTCGGGGCCCTCCACACTGTAACTTCCACATTAGCTGACGTGCTTCTCTCCCATTGGTCAGCAAGAGGTCTGTCCACCCACGGTAAGCACGTTACGAGGTTTTGCATGCCATGATGCCGCGCCATACTATACCACACCCCAACATATAGCATCACATATCACATTATGCCCAGCCCCTTCGCCTCCCCATCCCCCCCATCGCCGACATCTCCCCATCGCCCCTCGTTCCACCCTCTCCCGTTGCTCTTCTCATCATCCTGCATGCTCGTTTCCTCCTCCCCACCACCTCCCTCTCACGTCGCTCATCCCCTCCACACACTCTCCTTCCCCACTCTCCCTCCAAATCTCTTCCTGTCCCTGCTTCGTGCTGTGCCCCCCTGTGCGCGCGCCCATGTGTTCCCTGGTGCCCCACTATGCCCCACATGCCCTCCCATGCCTCCTGAGCGGGAGGGCAGGCATAGTGCGGGCAGCAGGGCAGCGCACGGCGGTGGTGGCGAGTGTGTTTGATGGCGCGGGCGAGGTGGCTGCTGGCGTCGCTGACGTTGCAGTGCTGGTGCGCTAGGGTGGGGTGTGGTGCTATGGGCTCACGTGCTGCTCACATACACACGTGCATGTGTGCATGCATGCTCATATGTGCACATGCACACAAGCATGCACGCATGGGTGCATGTGTGACTCGGTCCTATCATCACCATGCCTGCCAAACGTTCTCCTCATCCATCCATACCGTCCTCCTCCATGATCCATCCATCTCACCGCGTGCATGATGCGTCTAAGTTCCCACACTCACAGCAACACCTGTCCCATGCGGCACACCTACCCACCACCATCCGTGCACTGCACGGTGCACCCCACCACCATCTGTGCCCGCCCTCCTCCCGCAATTATCGCTGCGCCCACACTCTTTTCCTCGCACCCGCCACCTACTCTAGGTGACTGGGGTCAGCCCAGAGCTCAGTTTCTGTCCAGGACTATCAAGCACGGTATCTGTTTCTATCTACAGCATCATACATACCTCGAGTCGACTGAAAGCACACTCGAAGCTCACTCACTCCCCTAGAGCACACCGCAGCACAGTTGTCAGATAGGGATTGGAATGATTCGAATCGAATTGCGTTGCGTGAGTCATCAACTCAACTCTGCCCTCCTCCATCCATCCATCCTCATTCACGCCCCTTGTCCCCTCCCCTCCCCTCCACATCCCTCTCCCCTGCTCCCCAACCTCCGCCCACCCCCTCAACGCACGCGCCCACGGCGGACCACCAGGAGCAAGGGGTGCAGGGGGAGTGGGTAGCGTGCTTCACACGCGCCATTCACTCAGCGCCTTGCCTTGTCGTCGACACCAACCTCCCGGCCTCGCTGCTCGCCTATACCTGTCAATGTGCGCACTCTCCTTCCTACCTGTTGCCTGCGCTTGCCACGCTTGCCCTGCTCGCCTTGCTCAGCCGGAACACTAGTCCACACTTTCTTCCCTCTCCCTCTCCCCGCCAACTCCCACTCCCTTTCCCCTTTCCTCCCCCTCCTGCTCCCTCTCCCCGTGCCACTGCAACTAGTCTGCTCCACTCCACTCACCCTCCCTCCCTCCCTCCCTCCCTCCCTCCCTCCCTCCCTCCCTCCCTCCCTCCCTCCCTCCCTCCCTCCCTCCCTCCCTCCCTCCCTCCCTCCCTCCCTCCCTCCCTCCCTCCCTCCCTCCCTCCCTCCCTCCCTCCCTCCCTCCCTCCATCCCTCCCGCCCGCAGTGGCGGCAGCAGCAGGGGTGCCAGTGTGGTGTGACCCTGTGTCCGTTGGTAAAGCCCCGCGCACACTCGCCTCCCTGCCACTCGTGCGTGCCTGCTACCCCTGCTGAACGCCACGCCACAACTATCTTGGCCTTGCCTGCTACCATTCCTTTCCCATATCATACCCCGCACCATACCATACCGCACCATACCATACCGTACCACACGATACAATACCATACGATACAAAACAATACGCACCCCGAACGAACTTGCACGCTCACTTGCACAACCCCCCACGAACACACACACACGTCCTCTGTCCACACAACCCCCCCACCTGCCCAACACATCCCACACCCACTGCTCCCTCTCCCTACATGGTTGGAGGGAGGGTCCATTGCCTTTATTCACTCCACACACCTGTTGCCAGAAATACATTGCATCAGATGTGACACAGACATATGCACACACACACACACACACACACACACACACACACACACACACACACACACACACACTCACACTCCATGCTACCATGCATGGCGCGTGTGTGTGTGCACCCATCCATGCACCATGCTACCATGCATGCGTGCACCCATGCATGCATGCACCCATGCCTACCCGTGCCCCCATGGGCCCTGCAGATCCACGTGCTGGCACCCAATAAGGCCGAACTGCACGCCATCGCCCACCACTTGCCCTCCTCCTCCTCCACCTCCTCCTCCTCCCCGTCGGCCTCCCCTATCCCCATACGGCATCACTTCCACCATGCGCACACCCTTGGGGAAAGGAGTGCACAAGAAGCAGCACCTGTACCTGATACTAGCTGTTGCTGTACCTGTACCACCAGTAACTGCAAACCGCACTGCAAGTCACCCTGCGAGTCACCCTCTCACCCTTACTCAGACTGCCCTACAATCAGCCATTCTCCGTATTCTCCTCCTCCTCCTCCACACCTTCCCCTCCCCCCTTGTGTAAGCGCCACCACCACAGCAGCGCTGCTGTCCGTGCTGCAGGCAGGAGTCAAGTACGTGCTTCTAACGAGGGGCAAGCACGGAGCATGCCTGGCCTCGCTACAGTCGCCTTCTGTTCCCACAGCCCCCAATCCCCACGCCTGCCTGTGCCTACATTATTTCCCAGCGCTGCCCGTTCGCCTGCCCGAGGGGCAGCTGAATCTAAGCGGGGCGGGGGACTGTCTTTTGGGAGCAACTGTCGCTGTCACTGTCTTGATGGCTCGTGGGCAACACACAGTACCACCATCAGCAGCAGCACCATTAGCTGCAGCAACACCACCGCCTTGTCAGTCCCAGGTGAATTCTCAGGTGGAGTTTCAGGAGAGGTTGGTGGCAGCATTGGCAGTGGGCATGGCAGCAGCGCGGGTGGCAGTGGAGAGTCAGGAGAACGTGCCGTGGAGGGAGCTGCAGAAAGAGGTGCTGCCCCTGTTGCTGCCCACACAAGGCTGATGGGGAGGCGAGAGGAGAATGCCGGTAGTGCTGCTGCTGCTGCTGCTGCTGCTGCCGCCGCTGCCGCTGCCTCTGCTGCTGCTGTTGCTGCCATTTGCTGCTGTTGCTGCTGCTGTGGCTGCTGGTGCTGCTGGTGGTTGCACTTGAGTTGATACCACCCACACTCCTGCTGGTGCTGCGGGTGATGGTGAAGAGGGTGATGGTGAAGAGGGTGATGGTGAATCATGATCATCATGCCTGCTGGACTACTGCAGATTAGATTGGCAGCAACTAGTGGCGTCAGTGCACTGAAATTGCTGCTTGCCAGTCCTCTTTCATGTGGGTACTAGTGGGTTGTTGTGCTGTCAGTGCCCGTGCTGTGCACACTCTATGTTATTCCTCTGCCTCCTGTGCTGTTTTTAGGGCGACGTCAGGTTGTACAACTTTTTGTACGCCCGCTGCGGTTACCTTCGTTTCAACACGGTGCAGAGCGATGGACGTCGAAAACCGCTTTTCACCGTGTTGAACCGTCCTGAACCACGATACAGGAACTGCTAGCGCGAGTGAAATGTACCGGTATGACCTGACCTGACTTCGCCCTTAGTTCCTCGCGTGCCTACTGGCAATGAGGCTTCTCCTGTCAAGAATTTGGTGAGGTCTATAGGTTTAGCGAGTACCATACATGTCATCAAACAATCATTAAGAATTCTGGCTCTACAGCAATCACACTTTTTAGTTACGGTGTTTTCTTCCCTTATCCCCATGCAAACCACCAATGAGCTAAGGTTGGCATGTGGTGGGCGCTGAAACCTGATGATGCTGCTCTTGCTGCTGTTGCTGGTGCTCAGCCTTGCCTTTCCTAGTGACTGGACAGCCCCATCCATCAGGCTTACAAGTAATAGTAGCACGCTATGCTATGCACCTGATCCGCACAGCACAGCCCAGAGAGCAGCGCAACAACAAATGTCCTCCTAATGCTTCCTCTCCCTCTCCCTCAATTGTCTCTTATTCATCATCGTCATCCGCTCTCCGCCTCCCGTTCCCCTTTCCCTTCCTCTCCTGCACCTCCTCCTGCTCCTCTTGCTCTATCCCCTGCTCCCTCCTCTCCCCCTGCGCGCCCTGCGCGCCCTGCGCGCCCTGCGCGCCCGCCTCCCCCTGCGCATGTCTGTCCAGCGCCTGCCTCAGCGCCTCCACCTCGCCGCGCATGAGCGCCAGCTGCTGGCGCAGGGCGGACGGCATGGCCGAGGGGGGCGCGCTGCCCTGCGCCCACGCCAGGTCCGCCTCCATGCGCATCAGCTCCGCGCGCAGCTGCAGCTCCGCGGGGGACGTCACGTGCTGAGGGGAAGGCGCGGACGGCGCGGAAAGGGCGGAAGGGGCGGATGCGGCGGAAGGCGCGGAAGGGGCGGAAGCAGCAGCGGCGACAGAAGCAGCGCTGGCATGTACCTCCGTCTCGCCCTCCCCGCCACTCGCGCTTTCGCTAATGCTGCTCCCGCTCCGCGCGCTCCCCTGGCTGCTGCTTCCCTCCCTTCCGCCCATATAGAACGGCGCTTCCAGCGTGCTCCCCGCGCTGCTCACATGCGCCAGCGCTTCCCCCTCGTCCGCAATCCCGCTCCCCGCCGCACTCCCCCGAACTGCGCCGCCACTGCAGTTCTCTTGCCATCCTTCCCCGCACCCTCCACCGCGCACTTCAGCGCACTGTTCCGCGCACTGTTCCGCGTAATATTCCGCTAGCACTCGGTGCGCCATGAGCAGACCCATGTTCATACTCACGCTCTTCGGTCCGCCGTTCCACGCCGCCTGCTCCGCCCTCCGCTCCGCTTCCGCCACACTGGCGGGCGACGCGAGCGCATCCCACTCGCGCGAACCCATGTTGCGCCACGGGCTGACGCCATTAGTGGAGACGCTGCGCTGGGGGCCCGGCGGAGTGGAATGCGCGGGGGACGATAGTGCCGGGGACGATCGCATGGTGTATGACCAGTGCGCACCGTTCCTCCGCGCGTCCGCCGCATTTCCGCACCACCGCGGCTGCTGAAGGCTCGCGTCCCCGTAGCCGCCCGCCATCGCTGCTTCCGCCGCCGCCGCGGCTCTGCCAGCAGCTATCCCCGCCGATAAGTGTGCCGCCGACTCCGCCGCAAGCGGCTCGGGCAACCAGCCACTGCAGCTGCCCTCGCCGGGCGGGAACGCCGTGCGGTCGCCTCCCGCAGCGGCAGCCATTGCGGCGGAGGTGACGGCGGCGGGCGCGGAAGCGTCGTCGTAGGAGTCGAATAGCGCTTCGACTGGCGCGTCCAGGAGGAACGCTGCGAGGCCCGCGGGGACTCCGCGCGGGGCGGCGGATTCCTCCCCCGCGCCTACTGCGGCGGGTGCTGCAACAATTTCGTTAATCGCGCAACCAGCGAACCCTTTCGTGGGGTTATACACCTCTCCCGAGGCGCCTTCTTCCCACGATAGTGCACGGCACGAGTCGCACTGGCAAACAAGAGAGCCGTTGGAGCTGCCCAACGGCACCGGCTGCGACGCGACGGAAAAGGAATCGTCGGAGTGCGACGCGACCCACATCTCCGCGAATTCCGGCGGGACGCCAATCTCGGGGATTTCAAAGAGCTCCTCCGTCGTCGCCGTCAGCATGCGCGCAGCCAACCCGCCGCAACCCATGATGGAATCGCCGCTTCCCGGACTCGAACTCGCGACCATCGCCGTGGAAACTTCGGCGGCCGAACCAAACCGAGGAGGTTCGGATCCATGCAAGCCCGGTCGATCGCTATTAGCAGGCGAGAGTCTATGGGACCATGACGACGACGAAATCTTTGCTCCCGTCGGCGATTTTGGGGGTAGATTGCATCCCGGCTCGTCGAAAGGGGAGGAGTCGCGGTGCGTGTGGCCATGATTGCGGTCGGTGTGATTCTGTCGAGAGGTGCTTGGAGCAGCAGCGTTGGGACTTGCAAAGCGGGAATGGGGGTTGTGGGGGTGATTGTGGTGATGCGAATCCGATTCGCTCTTGCGGCGCGACGAAGCGGATGAGTGAGAGCGCGAGGACGAGAGGGATGACGCGGAGTGGTGTGCGGTGGAGGAAGAATGGCCCTTGCTAGAGTGGGAGAGGGAGTAGGAGTAGGAAGGGGAAGAGGAGGAGGAGGTGGGGGATCGGGGGTTGCTGCTGAAAACAGCGAGAAGCTTGGCAGAGGCGGAGGACGCTCGGTCTAGGTCGAGACGAAGCCGCGTCATTGCGGACAATGAGGGTGACTCTGACGAGGATGACGGGTAGTACGTAATTCTAAGCCGAAGCGTGTCGTAATTCACCAGCAGACTCGACAGAAGAGGGAGTGTTGTGTGGTTGCTCGATAATCAACAGAATAAAAGAACAAGGTTGCTGATCAATCGTTGCGATTGCGAGAGTAGCCGGTTTCTTCAATAAAAGGAGCTCGTGAGTCGTGGATTTACTGGGATCTCAAGCCCAAGTTTAAGTGGAGAACGGACACTACCAAGGCATCAAGAAAGAAAGCAATATTATGAGCCATGGTGATTGGTCGTTTGCTCCTTGAGTGGTCTCTGGCTATGCTTGACTGTGGCGTGGCTACACGGACCAGCTTGGCTGATTGTTTTCTGACGGCGAAATGCGGCAGGTGTGCAATTCCTTCGCATTCAACGCTGGACTGCGCTACCCAACCATCGCCCTGGCAATGCCGACCTTCCAAGCGCTGAGAGAGATTGGCGAATAAGGAGTTCGCTTTCTCCTCCAATAGTAGTCACTGGTCAGCACCAAGCACGTCGCTCCATTTCTGTCCTGTGGCGCTTTCGCCCCTCTACCCTGCAACGCATCCCCTAGCGCGAGTCCCGACCCCAACAAAGTGTCAGTGACACCCGTTCCACTTCCGCATCGAATCAGATGTGCACATGGCAAAGACATGGCTCGTCGTCATGAACTTTGCTTTCTCGCCTCGTCTACCAGCTGAATCCATCGTCTTGTTGTCATCTCGCCACTCTACCAACGCTCGTATGACAAGCAGGGTGGAAGAAGCAAAGCGAGGGATTGGAAAATAACCAGGGCGGCGGATTCCAGTTGTGCTCGGAGATTCATGTCGAATGGGAGGGGGCAGCAATCCGCGCCGCGGCAAGACAAAGCTGCAAGGCAGAGGCTCGTTTTGTCCTCCGTGCTGTCATGTGATCAAGCCTCAGGGCGTTTCACCCTGATTAGCATTTTTCCAGGGTTCTGTTTCGTAATCAGCCCGTAAATACTTGTTTCTATTTCTATGAACCCTGCCTTCTGGTCACAAAAGCAAATCCTCCTTTAATTTCAGTTTTCAGATTCCGTAACACACTGGCTTGGCCGAGTTCAATGAGGCGGAACCCTGTCTGCATTTCTTTGTCCCTGCTGCGATCAGAAGTTGATCGTAGCCCGGGATCTACCCAGGAAGGTTCGCACGCAGTGAAATAGTTGGTGGGCCCTTGACCTCAATAGCAGAGTGAATGTAAATGCTTGAGATGATTAAAAACATGCAAAACAGAGAATATAAATATAAGTACAAGGGAACACGAAACGACCTATCTAGCCATGTACTCTAAGGGGTACATTCCCTTATTCAAATTCACTCCCAACCGTGCGGCGCGTACAGTTTCGTAACTGTTCCCGCTGCCTGCAGCTGCCCGATGCCGTCTGCTTCCGACGATCCAGATGCGTTCCAATTGTTTGTCGCTTCGAGTCAATTCCAACCGTCTGACGGTTCGCGTTCATTCCCGTTACTGCGTGCTTCTCTTTGCTGCGGTGAGGAGTGCACAGTAATATCAAATGTTACTATTCGTAACACCCCCTTTTCACTCCTGGCCGTAGCTCGACTTGACCTGCTTGACCACGCCGCTGAGTTCGGAGCAGTGCTGATACTGCTGGCGTGGCAGTCGCTTCGTGAGGAAGTCCGCTGCCATGTCACCCGTCGGGCAGTAGGTCAAGTTGACCTTGCCCTTGTCCACCTCATCCTTCACGAAGAAGTACCGCAGCGCAATGTGCTTGGTGCGGTCGACGAAGTCGGAATTTTCGCCTCTTGCAGGAGTTCCTGCAGATAGAGGCCCTCGCGAACTGCTGCGGTTGCTGCGATGAATTCCGCTTCGGCGGATGACAGGGCAACCAATTCCTGCTTCTGTGAATTCCAGGAGATTGGTCCCGATGGCTCGAGTCGGAACAGGAAGCCGGTCCTGGACCGTCGATTGTCAGGGTCTGCTGCGTGATCGGCGTCCACGTAGCCGATGAGGTTGAAAGATGGAGTTGGTGCAGTTGAGTAGCACAGCCCAATCTTGGGCGTTGAAACGAAGAATTGAAGAGCCCGCTGCAGGTCCAGATGATTCTCGGCCGTTGGTTTGCGTGAGTACTGCGCCAGCTGGCTGGTGATGTACGAGAGGTCTGGCCTGCAGGTGACAGAGGCGAAGAGGAGGCATCCCAACTGCTGCTGGTAAGTCTGAATCCCAGCAGGGGACAGGGCTTTGTTGTCAGGTTTGTGGTTCGGTCTGGTGGTGCGATAAGGAGTTGAGAGGGATGCCGGTGAGATGTTGAACCGCTTCCCTAACTCCTCTGCGTACTTAGCCGCTGAAAGGTGAATGGCCTCAGGAGCGTAGGAGATGTTGAGGCCCAGGAACTGCTTCACCTCGTAGTTGCACGTGATGTCGACGCGCCTCGCCAGGGCCTTTTCGAACTGCTCGAGAAGCTCGTTGTTTGATCCTGTGTAGAGCAAGTCGTCGACGTACACTGTGAGGAGAATGTATTCGCCGCGGAAATCGCGGCGGTACATCCCTGGATCGTGCGGCATCTACTTGAAACCGATTTCGAGCAGAATGTTGTGCAGGTACTGCTGCCACAGCCTCGGAGCCTGCTTGATGCCGTAGAGGGATTTGCGCAGCTGACACACACGTGAATCCTCTTCGCCGTAGGTGTGTGGTTGCTCTACGTAGATCACGGCATCTACTAGTGCGTACAGGAACGCGTTCTTCACGTCGATTTGACGGAGTGGCAGGTGCCTTGCAGCTGCGATGGCGAGCAGGATGCGGACGGAAGTGTGGCGGCTGACCGGGGCAAACGTCTGATCGAAATCGATCCCGTGCCTCTGGTCGTAGCCGCGAACCACCCAACGCGCCTTGAAGCGCTCAATCGTTCCATCTGCTGTGGTTTTCACGCGGAAGACCCACTTCCCCGAGAGGACCCTTGCACCTTTGATTGCTGCGCGGTCAACGAGCACCCAGGTGTCGCGTGACTCCAGTGCCTTGATCTCCGCGTCCATCGCCTCGCGCCACTCCTTGCTGTGTGGTCCAGAGAGAGCCTCGCGCGGATTTCGGGGCTCGATGACGCGCGGCGCTTTCGAGGTTGCAGCGTGGAGTCCGAGGAGCTGCAGCCCCGAGATGGTGCTGTCGTGGCGATGTTGCGGGACGACTTCCTGCACGTCGTCATCGTCGCTTTCAGGTTCAGGCGGTACTGGTGGTGCTGCGCCTCCGCCGCTTCCGCCCGTTCCGCTTCCGCCTGCTCCGCCAATTCCTCCTCCCGAGGAATCGTCGTCGTCGTCGCTGCTGTGCTGATTCTCCCATGTGAACTCGCCCCTAGTGTCCTGCTCCAGAATTGCTGCAGCGGCTTCGTCTTCGGGCGTTGCGTAGCTGTGCCCGTTGTTCGCGTAGACGCGATCCGCGTTTCTCTGCTCGTCGTCGCGGAACTGGTCGAGGAAGAGGCGTTCGTAGAAGATTACGTCGCGGGCATGGGCGGTCTTCTGGCTGAGGAGGTCCAGCACGGTCCAGGCCTTGTATTCGTGGCTGATGCCGAGGTGGATCCCCCAACGCGCGCGGCTGGCGAACTTCCCGATCGTCGATGTCGGCGGGCGGTATTGGACCATGCACCCCCACACGCGCAGCATCGAGGTATCTCCCTTGGTTCCTGTCCACTTGACGTGCGGGAACAAGTTGCCAGTAATCGCGGTCGTTGAAAGGAGGTTGTGCACCCGCACGGCGTGATGCATCGCGTAAGTCCAGTAGATCGGCGGCAATTTCGACTGCTTCATCAGCGCGCGCACCTCTGTCATCAGCGTGCGATTCGTCCGCTCAGCTACGCCCTGCTGCTGGTGCGCGTAGGGGAGAGAGATGTGATGCTCGATCCCCTTTTGCGTCAGGAACGTCTGCATCTGGTTGCTCCTGAATTCTGCCGCGCCGTCGGATTGCCAAATCTTGAGCTTCTTCCCAGATTGCCGCTCCGCGTGCGGCAGCCAGAGGCGAAATACCTCGTAGGCTCTGTCGCGCGACTCCACATTTACGACCCACACATAGCGCGTTCCAGCGTCAATGAAGGTGAGCGTGTATAGCTCATCCTCGACTCCGCAATGCCCCACGTTCAGGAAATCGCTGTACACCTTGTGCAGCTTGGGGTAGCGGTTGGTTCCAGGTTCGAGCAGCGGGAACGGTTGGTGACTCAGCGCAGCTTCGGGGCAGACGGTGCAGTTGCGCGGATGTGTCGCGCCGCTCACTTCGGAGCCATCAGGGCGCAGGAGTGCGCCAGGAGCGAAGACGCCTGCGTCGATGCAGTTTTTCAGCGTCGCGCGGGAAGGGTGTCCGAGGCGCTGATGCCAGAGGGCATCGTCAGCGCGAAAGCCGGAGGTGCGCATATAGCGCGCGCGCGCTTCTTCAGGGTCTTCGTCAGGTACAGGAGCAGGTTCTGCTGCTACTTCTTCGACTTC